ACTCCTCACGTGAACATATCTCTTTCAGGCATCTCCACCCCTGCCATGAACACCCTGAGCAATTGCCAATTTGCTGATGGGTGGAAAAAGTTATCTCTGCATTCCAGGCTTTCAGAAGGCGTTTGACAAGTCGCATCCCCTGATCTTGCCTCCGCATCTCCACATCCTCCTTCTTCTCTGTTTCACCTCCAAATGGTGCTAGGCCCAGCTCGCTGGGCTGGCGCTTCGCAGGTGCCGAAGGTCAGAAAGCAGCTCTATGATTTGGCACCCTTCCTTTCCAGACTGCAAAGAGCAACCTCGCGACTGCCCCTTTGGCTTCGGTTTGTGTCAACCGGTCCACCTAGTGAACCTTTGGCAATGCTTTTGACAGTGTTAAGTACAAAGAGAAAACCAACCCTAGTAGCGATGGCCTCCACCCTAGTAGCGATGGCCTCCAACCTGCTAGCGATGACCGTCTTAACATTGCTTCACCACACATAGAGTCTAGCGGTCACAGCCGCTCCGCTTTTACCGCGGTGAAACTCCCTCCTGAACGGACTAACTCCCTTGCACCCTGCCTGCGTCGGCCGTCACGGGCAATCCCATGGCCGAAGAAAGTCGCAAGAGGTTCTCCAAATCGGCCAAGCCAACGAACGTGGGTTGATGTGCTCCAAACTCACCGACGACATGTGCTTCTAGGCTTTTAGGTCCTTAGGATATGATACATGATAACTGCTCCACACCACTCCACCCTCTTTCTGCAGAAAATTCCACCAGTTGCCATTGCTTTTGTTTGAACATGTTCGGGGAGGTCGAGACGAAGTCTGAGTCAAGTCTACCGACTGATGGACCGATCTGGTGACCGAAAATCGTGGCACTTCCGTGCGTCCATCACTCATCAACTCTCATCGACCGCTGAAGATTATTTTGTTGTGGGACACTGGCTCTTCTCTTCTCCACACGGCGTTCCACACGTCGCAACCGCCCGCCCGCGCGGGCGGGTGGGCGGCTTGACTGTTGAAGTTTGCGTCAAACAAAGCTTCATCAACTTGGTCGCTTCTGCAATTGGATCTATAGGCTTAGGATCATGGGCTTTCCCTTGAAGCTGATCTGATGGGGTGCGGATTTCACCCAGAAACACTGCAAGTGGCAAATGAGACACGGTCAATGGATCCTTGTGTTGGGCAACTAGATCCACGAGGACTGCATTCCACTACATGGGAGTACCAGCAGAGCGTCTCATGAAAATATCCTGCGAAAGATTGAGGCTCACGGGGGTTGTGGCAATCGATAAACGGGAGACCCAAATCGATAAACCCTTCGGGCAGGGAAATGGCAGTTCGGGGTCTCCGTCCCGTGTGAACAGTTTGAGATGTTCTCGCGTGAACAGTTTGCATGTGTTTGCTATTTTGCAATTGAATTCACTTACTCAAGGAAAAATATGCCAGTCAACCTATGTAAATGGCCTCTTTTCATTCAATCTAAAAGCGTAGTGTACTCAGAGGCTGTGGACCTTGTGAATACCAAACTTCTACGTTGTCAATTGTCCCAGAACCCAGAACACCCTTGAAAACATGTCAGGCACCGTGAAGATGCACACTCCTGCCCATGCACACCCCGTGCGGGCCCAGCGGGAAATTGGTGCTCCCTGCACCAGCTTCCATTCTATGGTGGTTCAATTGTCCACCCATCCAGCAATAGTAAGGAGGTTACGTTTTCATCCTGTGGCTTGGTACTTGCGAGACTTCACTACGGTACGTGCAACAAAACTTCAGGAACACTGACTATTTCCGAGAGTTTCAGGAACACTGGGCTCGATGGGTCACTTTCGCGCGAATGGTTTCACGCCCATGTTCTTTCATGATTCCTCCCAGGCTTTTGCTGCGGTTCAGAGCCCTTCCCCAATTGGCACATCACCCCTTTCAGCAGAGCCCTTCCGAGGAAAGCGATCGATATCAAAATAGAGACTCGCAAAGGATCCACTCGAGAAGGAAATCGAACGGTTTACTGTTTTACCATGTCGAAAGCGGCAGCAGTCTTTTTGCCTTCAGAGAGTCAGATGTAATCTGCCCTTCCATGGCATGTTTTTACATGCAAAAAAGAATCGAGCAGGATCCATCCGCCACCGAAACCTGCCGAATAAGCAAAACAGCATCAGTCCCCGCCTCTGCAGCACGTCAGCAAGGAGACAATGATGAGGAACTCAGTGTCGGCCAAGCTGTTCAGTTCAAAAACTGCCAGCAAAGCTTCGTCTCTTGTTGCTAAGGCCCCCCCCAGTAGCGGAAGTTGCATTCATCCTTTGTAGCGGATCCTTGTGATTGTCGGGATGCCCACGGTTGAAAACGAAGGCCGGTTGTTGCTTCATCATCATCAGGTCCACTGCTACTGTTGGCAAAGAAAGAATGCGAAGCACATCCCAATCGCATGCGAATCGGCGAGGGATCGTACACGTCGGCTACAACGACAACGAGCTACGCCCATCCCCATATGAGAGGAAGACTTGGAGAAAGGATTCTGAGCACTGGAGGAAACCGTCCAGAATTAAAACTTCCAGGCAAAGAGTCACGAGCCTTTGAAGTATGGACGCTCAAGAATGGACAGCATCATCTTGGGGTGGTTCCTTTTTAAAACAGGACGCCCTCAGCGTGTGCATGTTGCTCATATTCTGCCTGTTTGTGCTGTACCGTATATTGTCTTGTGTTACTATATCAGCATTGTCTTAATCTTAGTTATGGTGTTTTACTTGCTTGTGCTAAGGAGGCTTCAGCATGGCTTACACAATGATTCCCTTTGCATCTGCTGTCTGCGTGACATAATCACCAAAACTAAAAATACTGTCAATGTCTCAGGGGCAGATCCTGGGGCATTTTTTTGGTGCGTCTTGTAACAGACAGCAAATGACAAAGCAATAGCCATGCTGAAGAATTTAGGACTCATAAAGTCTTTTAACTTTGGAGATTCAAACAACAATTGAAAATCGTTAGTTATTAAATCCAGTGCATGTTCAAACAAATTTATATAAGAACCTAATCTGGAGGTCTCTTGCCTTTGTAGGGTCCATGAATCCTTCATTTTTACTGCGGCTGCAGCAAAAAATATTGTATTATCAATATGGTATGTGTCTTTGCCTGCCATAGACATTTCTATAGTTTCAGCTGAATTAGGTATAGTAGTAGTCAAAGTTATGGTCATATTGTTCTGTAGTTCATCAAGTTGTTTCGTCTTTAATGTTTAAAGATTACTTCTCAAATCTGAATTCATAAATCGTTTCATTGTAGCGAATGGTGTTTTGCTTGCTTGTTTCGAACCTTCACTCAGTGTATCTGAAGCACTGGAGATTCAAGCAGTTGTTTCTTTATTCCTTTTATATTGCTCAGTAATTTCTTCCGGGGATGCATCAAATGAATTTGCATTATATAAAATACTAAATAGTATTCATTGTTTTTAACAATGTAATTTTTGGTGTATTAAGATTGACATATTCCAGTAGTTTTGTCATCAACAAAATGCTGTGTTCTAGTTTGGTCATATATTGCACGTTCATTAAAAATAGTTGTTTCATTGATGTTTATGTGTTCTTGTATACTGGCAAGAGCTGCTCCTGTTTTGTAACATCTTCTTTTAATTGTGCAGTAGTTTCACTGTTATGTACTCTTTTCTGAGGAATCGTATACAAACTTAAGACTATAATTCATTGTATGATATTGCAAAATGCCTTGAAAATTATATTCCTTTTGACACAGAAATAACACATCATCAACATGTAAAAAATAGAAACACATTATTTACAGAAAAAAAATAAAAACTAATTATCGGAAATTAAAGAACTATAAAAACAGTTGATATAGTTTTTCTTACAATATTACTTTGTTTAAAAGTATAAACATGATGATCAATATCATGGTTCAACTTATTACTGTATAGGCTATTAGATGAATTGGAACTTAAAGTTCCTTCTTCATAGATCAATTTATAGAACTCTAAAAGTATGAACATTAACATAAATGACAAAAAAGAAACACTATTACATAGATTGAATGTTTTAAAAGTATAATGAGGCAGAAGCATATGAGAAACAAGAACAAAAGTACACGCTCAAAGCGTCCCGCTCTCTTTTTCGGAGGGGGACGTGCACAGCAGGAAAGCCAACTCTGTAAAGCTCCAAAGGACCTTCCTTATTGGCCTCCCTTTGAACCCGGCATGCTCTTTGGTGGCCTTACAGTACGCGCCTGAGCTTGGTCAGCCGTACGTGGGCAACCCCGATTCGAGAATGGTTCTGGCACATCAGGTATGTTGGCACATCGGCCTACAGGAATCTCTCGTGTGATCGGGCTCAGTGCAGCACCACTGCGCAGGAAGTTGGTGCTGCAGTCGGCGCCTTCTGCAGCCGTGCCAAATACCTGCAGTCCGTCTTCTCAGCGTCACAGTCCAAGCAGCTTGTTTTGCGAAGGTAAGACTGAGCTTTGAACCGACATCATCCACGCCATCGTCATCATCAATCTTTCCAGTTTGATCAGAAAAAATTATAAAAGGGATCGAAGAGCATGGGATCGCCGGGGCTTGGGCTTCGCTGCTCCCGGTTCCGCCGGTTCCCGGTCTTCCCCACCCGATGCCCCACATGGGGGTTTAGGTCTGACGCGCCACGGCCCTCGAGTTCGGTGTCCCATGAAATTCTGGACCAAATAGGTGGTGTTCCGAGTCTGTCTCATCCAAATCAATTCTCAAACACAATCAATCATCCAACCAGATCACAAACAGGATCAAGCGAATCAATCATCTCGAAGCAGTGCGGAAGCTGTGGCAGCACACTGGCAGAGCCCACCACCCCAAACGCGTCAGAACTAACAAGCCGGGGTCGTGCAAATCGATAACTATGAAAACCTTTTTGCCTGATGTGAATCTCCGAGATCACTATGTGAGCGTTTGCCAGAACGTTCTGTCAAGTAAAGGACATGATTCAGCAAGGTTATCGCTGTTGATGGAGGCCTATTGCTTTTGCAGGTTTTAGCAACAATCAACATAGCTGAACATATCCAAAAACTGCAGGGATGTGGTTATCGATTTTTGAGAGACGCCTATGGCTTTTGCAGGTGTTAGCCAAATTCCTCAAATTTACGACCGCTCTAAATTTGAGTCATGACACGTTTTGGGGGTTGCTCATGTAGATCCAAGGCGGGCCCCACCTGCAGAGCAGGATCTCCCCGATCAGCGCAAGGATCAAGTAGATGAAGGACAGAATTCCAAAAACTGCCACGCCGATGTGGCTTCGGTGTCCACATCCAAGCCAGAACACGTATGTTTCAGGAACCAGGTGCCCGGGCGCCCGTAGGCTGACATGTTTGCCTTGAGGATGATGTGCGTTGTCAACTGGTGTTAACTGCTTGGAACGCTTCGGGAGCTAAGTTGGCTGGGTGACTGTCTAAGCCAACTTCACTGGAGTACAGGATCACGAAGCAAATGATCTGTTGGTGCCATTGGAAGGAAACACTACGATTTTGGGATATTAGGATTCCAAAAATGATCAGCATTGTCTCTGGTCTGCCCTGGTATGCATTGGCATACTTGGATTTGTTCCAAGATCTGTCCAACACTCTTCACTGGGACTAGGAAGGAGCTGAGTGAAGAGCCCTGAGGAAAGAACGAGGAGCAGTGAATGCTCGCCACCGAACTATACTCAGAAACTACTAGGTTCCTTTGGAAACTGTGAATGGTTCACCACTGACCACTGAAAAAGAAAAAAAACATTTAAAAAAGAACACCGATAGTCACCGATAGGCTTGGCAGGTATGTACCATCGAACTCTCCCCAAATCACACTAGCCACTTGGAAGCAACTTCCACAAGCTCGCCGGGGCCACAGATATCTGGCAGGATCTCCGTCAAGATGCTGGGGTTCCCATCACCCAGGCGAGCCTTGAGGAGCATCAAAGCAGCTTTCAGGAGGGTTTGGATGAGCCTCTAATGTAGACTATTGATCAATAAAAGCCCGATGGGTAGAAGAGGTTCTACCCTCCAATTGAGGAGGGGATTCTACCTGAAGAGCTCTGGCCCGAAAAGCATCTCAATTTCCCTACCTCCGCACACCTGCTTTTCTGTGCGGATATATGGAGGATAGGCTGGTGCGAAGCGCTGGTTCGTCCAATCTCTCACCGCTCTGCAAGACAACTGTTCCATGCTGGCTCCGAACAGTTGAAGCAAGGATGGATGTGGCAGACAGTGAAAAAACCAAGTCTCTGTGCGGAAACACTGCAGAGTCTAAGGGGAGGGACTGTTTCCTCCATGCCCGAACATTGGAGTCCTTCTATTCGCTGCAAGATAATGGAAGTGGCATCAGTGTACAATCAAGCTACGTCCTTGTCAATTCCAGAACCACGTTTCTACAACTGGCAAGAGCCGCGTTGTAGAACACCAGGTTTCAGCACGCCCACGGCTCGACAGTGCCTGGTGGGAACAGTCTCTGCCGATCGAACCTGGCAGACCTTGGCCTTTTCCCCCGGTGGCCAGCGCACGGGTCGGCCCACCCTGTCCCTGGATGGGTCGTTCATCTTGATCAGTCCACCCGGGAAGCGACACAGGCCTGACGTTCTTGCAAGCAAAGGTGGATGTACCTCGCCGGTCGCCGGGTTTCGAACGAACAGATCGAAGAGGTAGTCTGAGACGTGAAGAACGAGACGTTGGAGGTGCTCGGTTCAGCTGATTTTTCACAAAAAACAGGGGTTCGGTGCTTGACGCGGCGAGGCAGTGCGTGTTTTCAGTCGGTGGCGTGCTTTCAGTCTGCATTGAATATCAGCGAGCTTATGCCAATGTCCATCTGAATTGTGTCGTGAGTGTCCGAACTCAACAAGATCCGGTCCGTGTGGTTGCAAGGAATTGGTGAGGAAGCGAAGCGCGATTTCCGGACCTTTTCCAAACCGAAAACAAAAAAGAAACAAAGGCTCTCAGCGCAGGCGAGCTCGGGAAGGGACGGGCAGGACCCGAACCATGAAATCACCACCAGCAGCAACGAAAGCGCATCGCCCAGCCTCGGTCCAGCCAGACATGGGGTCAGCTGGTCTGGTGAGGGTGCTGCGGTGCATTCGGAGAGATGCAGCAACCGAGACCTGTTGAACTCCTGGTAGGTATTGTCTGCATGGTTCTCTGAAAAGCCCTGTCTTATGATGTTAATGCCGCACGATGAACACCAGAGTCTTACGGTTCTGTTTCTCCGGGACCAATCCAAGGGGCGCTCCGGCGGCGGCCCGATTCGCCGGCGAAAGGTGGTTGGCTGCACTGGACCAGCTCCACGAAAAGAGTCAATCCCCCTTTGCATGTGCGGAACTGATACTTATATCATGATTTACATGCAAGTGTGTCATCCAAAACGCTTGCCACTGATGCTCTTAGGTGGGAGGCCATCGCTATTAGGTTGGAGGCCATCGCAAGTAGGTTGGAGG